AGCGAGACACACACACACACGGAGAGAGGGAGAGACACTCACACAGAGAGAGAGAGAGACACACACACACACGGAGAGCGAGAGAGACACACACACACACACGGAGAGAGGGAGAGACACTCACACAGAGAGAGACCCACACACATACAGAGAGAGAGAGAGAGAGACACATACACACACACACACACACACACACACACACACATGTATACACTTTTTTTTTTTGCCTCCCACATGAACTACTGGAAAGCCATTACACTTTGAAAGTTTAAATATGTGTGTTAGTTTAACTGCATATTTCTAAAGCCTCAATCCTAAAAACAATCTCCCTGGCTCTATATTGAAACAATTACATGTTTAAAAAAAAAAAAAAACTGCACAGTATTCTGTAAGACAACTTATATCTAGACCCATAAAATCTCTATTCACAATAACAACTAACACAAATTGGCCACATTGACGTCAGTTCATATTTATTTGACTGATGTAAACACTCAGGTACATTACCTGATACCTATCAGCAGTAAATGATGAAAAACAGTGTGTTGATCTAAATCTTCCCCATCTGTAGTACCTTTTATGACTCAGTGCTTGACTGTTCAGCATTAACTTTGACTTATTTCTTGAAGGAACTGTGAGCTAAAGAGACATTTCCCATTTGTCTCAAGTAGCAGTCTGAATGCCTGGCACTTCAAAACAAGTGCATTTTTCTATGTGTCTGTGTGTTTATCAGGACGCATGCAGATGAATACACTGCATTATAGGATACAGGAAGTCGAAGATGTTTAAAATGATAGGGACAGACCACACCTGTAGAGATGAGTGTTTTAGAGGTAAAATTCAGCTTATTTTCTCATGACAGTGTTTTTGACCAAACTGAGAAACATCAAACATCATCAAAGATTCGGCTTCGAGAAGAAGACATTGAGAGGTACCTTCCACCATGTCTGTGGGGGAAGGAAACAAAAGAGTGAGTGCATGCAGTACAGGAAAAAAAAAACCTCATGACAATAGAGTGATGCGGGGAAGATGATTTTTGAAACGAGTTAGCAATTTAGCACTTCTGGTTTCATCATCCTGAAGCACTGGTTTTTTTTTGTTAAATGCCTGTAATAATTCTGTGGTTAACACAAGTTCAAGAAATTTTAAAATTGTATTATATGTGACCCTGGACCACAAAACCAGTCATAATGGTCAATTTTTTGAAATTGAGATTTATACATCATCTGAAATTATTTATTACAGCTGAATAAATAAGTTTTCCATTGATGTATGGTTTGTTAGGATAGGACAATATTTGGCCGAGATGCAACTATTTGAAAATCTGGAATCTGAGGATGCAAAAAATCTAAATATTGAGAAAAGCGCCTTTTAAAGTTGTCCAAATGAAGTTCTTAGCAATGCATATTACTAATCAAAAAGTTAAGTTTAATCAAAAATGAAGTTTTAATATATTTACAGTAGGAAATTTGCAAAATATCTTCACGGAACATGATCTTTACTTAATATCCTAATGATTTTTGGCATAAAAGAAAAATCGATAATTTTGACCCATACAATGTATTGTTGGCTATTGCTACAAATATACCTGTGCTACCTATGACTGGTTTTGTGGTCCAGGGTCACGTATGACATAAAATCAATAATACATAATTATATTATCATGATGAACAAAACGTGTAAGAATCATAAGCTTTTGATGGTCACATAACTTATTTTCTGCAATAATCCAAAAGCCAATTTGTCGAGGGAACCAGGGTGATGCTAACATTCAAAATATCTTCACGGAACATGATCTTTACTTAATATCCTAATGATTTTTGGCATAAAAGAAAAATCGATAATTTTGACCCATACAATGTATTGTTGGCTATGGCTTACAAAACGTGTAAGAATCATAAGCTTTTGATGGTCACATAACTTATTTTCTGCAATAATCCAAAAGCCAATTTGTCGAGGGAACCAGGGTGATGCTAACATTCCTGATGGCCTACAAAAATATTTCATTGCTGCAGCACTCAAAAAACTTAAACTAACCTGCCAGGTTCAGATTGCAAAGGGTCATCATTGAGTGTTGCAGCATTAAAGTCCAACGGCTCCGCGTCCTGCAACAACTCAATGCTGTCTCGTCCTGTCTGGCTGCTGCTACGGGTGTACTTGGCCTCTGTGTATAAAAATGAAGGGATAAATGTGACTGCTTCTTTGCAAAATTCACTTAATAACAAATACTCTATAGGAAAACTACAGGACACATGTCTTATTGGGCATTAAACATACGCCGGTTTGTGTCTGAATTTAGGGTTTCGCCATAGTTGGTTTCCTTCATCTCAGACATGGACATCCGGTTTCTGGCAGCAGTCTCATCTCTTTGTGCATAACGCTCTCTCCATTCCTGTCATATACGTATAATCATATAACTGTAATATGTATCATTAGAGTAATTATATGTATGTATTACTCTGTACTATTTATAACTCACTCTTCGTCTGTTCTCCCCATCTTCTATTCTTTGGCGTTTTCTTCTTTCTATGCAAAAAACAACAACAAAATAAGTCAGATACACGTCCTCGTTTAATACCGGATGGGACCGTGTTAAATGTTAACGTCAGTGTCAGCGGTAACTACCCCACTGACGTATTGAGGTTTTCACCACTGCAGAAAGTAGAGCTGTAGCAATGAGCAAAAGTGATGTCTGAATCAATATTTATTTCTGCAACACATCTAACCATAGCAACCACAGGAGACAGCTTCACCTTATTTTTATACTACCGGTCAAACAGATAAGCTTGACATTAATTTTTTTCATGGTCTTACAATAGTTTTTGAAATTAGTCCTTTAGATAAGTATAAATTGGGCCTGTGAGTAAATTTCTTTACAAAACATAAAGAATAACATTTAGTTATATGATACTCTTATATTCTATTTAATGCATTTAATGTAATAGTATATATATATATATATATATATATTTAGTGATGTCAAACGATTAATCGCATTCAAAATAAGTTTTGTTTACATAATATGTGTGTATACGGTGTATATTAATTATGTATATATAAATACTAACGCATGCATGTATATATTTAAGAAAAATATGTTTATATATTAAATATACTTATAATATAAGATGTAAGAATATAAATATATACATTTATATTTTCAAAATACATACATGCATGTGTTTGTATTTATATATACATAATAAATATACATAGTACACATACATATATTATGTAAACAAAAACTTTTATTTTGGATGCGATTAATCATTTGACAGCACTTACATATTTATAAGTATACATATATATAGTTTTTTTAAATCTACAAATATAAACAACTCACCTCTGCGCAGGAGTTCTCTGCCTTCATCTATGAGGTCAGAGGTCAGTTCGTTGTCTCCCATGAACTGCTGGAAACCCAGGAGGTTCAGGCAACGTGTGCCAAGACTGCACAGAAATCAGTCAGAAACTACAACATGACATTTGACACATAATATCCATCATGAGACTCTTCTGTCTGATGATTTATAGAAAATATTAGACAAACCTGAAGTATGTAGCAATGCAGAGAATGACGATCAGCATGGGGTAATAGATGTAGAAGCCGTTGGCAATGAAGGACAGGACGCGCATAGAACCCATGATCTACAACATAACGTTAATGTTCATTAGTAATTAGAATAGATTTCAAAATAATGCTCTAAACATTTGATCAGCTGTACTATTAGAGTCTCATAAAATAATTCTGTACATTTTAGATAATGCTAAAAACTCACAGAGGTGTATGCCGTCTGCTCCTTTGCTTGGTGGGATATGGCAGAATCCATGTGAATCAGTCCCAGGAAGTTTAGACAAAGTGGGGGTGTCAAGCGGCAAAAAAGCCTAGTAAACAACACATAGGCTTTTGTGGTTTATCAGAGAAAAAAACTAAGGGTAGAGTTCACTTAAGGCTGGACGATATGGCCAAAATTGAAATCACAATATATTTCTTAATTTCGGTTGATACGATATAATTCCGATATCGATATGAACACTATTTATCTGAAATAGAAATCTTTTGTAACATTATAAATGCCTTTATCATCACTAAATAAAAGTATTAATTTCTATAATTTCTTTCCCAAAAAAATAATAAAAATTATACTGAATGGAATAGTGTATAATGTTACAAAAGCTTTTTATTTCAGATAAATTTCTGAAGACAGTCGGTTTCCTTCAGAGATACATTCATATAAAACACCTGCGCCGTGCTCATGTTTATTCAACGAAGTCAAACGACACAAATAAATCAATGTATGGGAAACACTGGTAATGTATATCGAAATATCGGAAATGTGTTTAAAAATCATATCACCGTTATTGAAAAAAATTATATCGCGATACATATTGATACTGAATTATTGTCCAGCCCTAAGTTCACTAACAATACAGTTCAGTTTAATTCACTGAATGCTGCTATCTGTGAAACATACATGCCGCTGAACTGCAGGCTGTAAGCGTCGGTTTGGTGATGTGAGGCCAGGTAGTAGTAGTTGAAGACTCGGATGCGAAACACAGTGGAGTAGACGCAGGTGCAGAGGAAAAAGATGGTAATGAAGCACGCCATCTACAGGACAAAATGACAATGTTAGGTTGTTTCAGATAATGCCACAGGCAAACCTAAATCATGCTGGGTCAGTAAGCTCTTAGATTTGGTGTATTGCAGGAGTCGGTAACCTTTTTGACACAAAGTGAATAAAATAAATGAATTAATCAGAATCAGAATGAGCCTTATTGCCAAGTATGCTTACACATACAAGGAGTCTGTCTTGCTGACGAGCATACTCTATCACAGATGAAGTGAATAACATGCAATATTTGTCAAATACACAGACGTTTCAGAAACGTTTTCATAAGCAACAGAAATACTTTTTATATACTGCTTGATACAGCGCCATCTGTTCAAGAATAAAGTTCAACATAAACATATACTATTTAAATACCAATAAAGTGGGGGTATATATATGCTTTTATCAGTGTTTTTTTTGATAAACGTAACTCAACATAACATTGTGACTACAGTAAAAAAGCTTTTACTGTTCTAAAAACACAGATTTGTGAGCAGTATTGGAATTGAAGATGTCAGAAACACACATCATTGTTGTCATGTGGTGAATTTGGCCAATCGTGAAACAGCTGTGTCGCCATTAGCGCTCCTGCAGTCGCTCTGAAAAAGCTGTGCCAGCTGAGTCAGCCGGCTGCTCTCGAAACGTTAGAGTGGTACTTCGATGCCACACGTGACAGTGCCACACGTGACAGTGACGTGGCATTGGCGCCGGTTCAAGTCGGACAAAATTTCTAACCGGCATGCACTGCTTCAAGTCAGCCGCCGATCGGTCTGCGCAGCGCCGCATGAAGTCGAACGCACCTAATGTATCACAGGAGTCACGTGGGACCGCCGAGGAAGATGGCAGCATAGTTATGGGCCCACCCAATATTTTCAATTTATTCGAGCATATTCACTCCACATTTGATTAGAACTAACATCCCTGGTGAGGTTAAATATTTGTGGAATAAAAGAGTGCCTTAGATAGCAGATGTCGACCTCCACATCTAAGTATTTTAAGGGGATTTCGACGAGTCACATGGCAACGAGACAGACTTCGCTGCCACACGAGTCGCCGTCACCCCTGCTGAAAGATCAAAATTCAAAAATGGAAAACTTATTATTCGAAATAAGTAAGATGAACTCTACCTTACAAGGGGTGGCGACAGATGTGTCATCAATCAAAGAGGTTGTTACCGATCTCAAAAATTCGGTGAATGCAATCCAAGAAAGGCTGGATGAAGCGGAGGGCCACATCTCCAACATGGAAGACGTCACCTCAAAGCTTGTCGATGATGGCGAACGGCACGATAAATGGCTGGAAGTTATGTGGAATCGAATTGAGGATTTAGAAAACAGGAGCCGCTGCAACAACGTGAGGATGATCGGTCTGAAAGAGGGGCTGGATGCAGGTGGAATGATCAAGTGTGTGTATAAAATCCTATCGGAGGGACTGGGAATTGATCCGGATGGAGAGTTTGAGATTGAGAGGGCGCATTGCGCTCTCACTCCTAGGCCCAATGCTGATCGACCACCGAGAATAGTTTTGATTAGGTTTCTGTGTTCGCCAGCCAGGGAGAAAGTACTACAAGCGACCAGAGAAAAAGGAATGATCGAATGGGAGGGATGTAGGATTTCCTTCTTCCCCGACATGTCAAGAGAGTTGGCCAGAAGATGGAGGGAATTCACAGCGCTACGGAGGATGCTGAGAAGCGTCAATGTCAAATATACACTGGCATACCCAGCCTCACTCCGCTTCACATGGCAAGGGAAGAATAGGGTGTTTACATCGAGTACGGATGCAGAGCAGTTCATTAAGGAACATTGAGGGGCACCAGAAAAACGGGACCAACTGTTTTTTTGCAAGATCGCCGGAGGGGAGGTAATGGGACAGGTGCAGTGGGTGGGAGGAGGAGTCGAATAACTGTGCTGTCTCGGAACAGTTTTGACAGCCAAAGACAGGACTGGATAGCTGATTCGGCACTCCACGGACCGTAATCTCGGGGTGTTTGAGCGAAGACGGTCCATATTGTTTGGTATGACCGTTGATTTTCTGTTGTTTCTTGTTCTTATTTTTTTTGTTGTTAAGTTTGGGGTAGGGGTTAGTTACTTTTTGTTAAGCAATAGGATGTTACAGAAGGTAGTTTTTGTGTTTGAAATGTTCAACTGCTGTTTGTTCAACTAATCTGTCATTCCCCAGTAGGGGGCAGTCACCTAACGCATTTGATTTCACGCACGATTATGTGCAATTCATTTGTTTTATAAATGGGTAGTCACATCAGGTTTATAACATGGAATATTAATGGATGTGGAAGCCCAATTAAAAGAAAAAAGGTCCTGTCATATCACAAACAAACAAGTAGATGTTGCTTTTGTGCAAGCAAGCCATGTAACAGATAACGAAGCACTAAAATTCAGACGAGATTGGGTGGGACATGTATTTTATTCATCATTTATGAGCAAAACAACAAACAAAATGGAGTAATGATCCTAATAAATAAGAGGCTTAATGGCATTTTTTAATGTTAACAGAAGCTAAAGACAATGCTGGAAGGATTATATGTATAGAAACTCTCATTAATGGATTTAAAGTGATATTATGTAATGTATATGCCCCCAATAAGGCAGATCCAGGTTTTATTAATAAGACAAGATTCTTGGGGACAAAGAGGGGCAAATCATTTTGGCAGGAGACTTTAATTAGGTAATGGATGGGGTTTTGGATAAGAGCAAATATCAAGAACCTTCTATACCAAGGGATAGGGCTGCCCTTCATATGCTAACAGAGTATTGACTGATATATGGCGCTTGGTCAATCCAACGGAAGGAGAGTATACTTTTTTTTCTCATTGCCATAAATCTCACTCTAGGATAGATTTTTTCTTAGTTTCAAATTCTACTATTGATCAAGTTGTAGATTGTAAAATTGGAGCAATATTGTTATCATGCAACGTTGGAATTGGATATAGCTCTAAACACAGAAGCTAAAAGAAAGGGAAGGTGGCGTTTAAATACTGCGTTTTTACAAGATGAATGTTTTGGCACATTGTTGGCTGATGATCTGACCTCTTTTTTAAAATTGAATATTGGAAGCACTGATAAGTTGGCGTCTGTATGGGAGGCCTCAAAGGCATATATTAGAGGGAAATGTATTTAGGATATTTGTAAATACAGATTTCAATTACATGATATATACAATAAAAAAGCCGAATATGCATTATTTAGACTAGGTTTTACGAAGGAGGTGAAAAAGCGGGCAAGCTCCTTCCAGACAATTAAAGCAACAAAACGCTGCTAACATTATTCCGGCCATTAAGAAAGGGAATACTATGGTATCACTGACAAAGGAAATAAATTAGGTTTGTCAGAAGTTCTAAAACCAATTATATACATCTTCAGGTAGCTCAGATGAAGGAAAACTGAAACAATTTTTTTCTAATATTAAGTTACCTAAATTAGATGTCTTGCAAGTTGCAATCAATCTATAGACGTTCCTATTACACAAGAAGAGGTCAAAGCTGCAATAATCTCTATGAAGTCTGGCAAATCTCCGGGGGCAGACGAGCTTCCATCAGAATACTACAAAAAGAATGTTGACATATTGGCTCCAATTTTAACACAAGATTATTCAGAGGCGTTTGAAGCTGAAGTGTTACCTAGTACTTTCATGGAAGCACTGATAACACTGATACCTAAAAAGGATAGGGATTTAACTGATCCTGCTAATTTTGTCCTTATTAATGTGGACTGTAAGGTGTTGGCAAAAATTCTGGCTTCACGGCTGGAGAAGGTTCTACCAGGAATAATTCACAAGGACCAAGTGGGCTTCATCAAGGGAAGGTCATCAGCCGATAATGTGAGAAGGCTAATTCATTTGATGTGGCTAAACGCTTCAGAGAACACCCCGATTGCAGCTATATCCTTAAGATGCCGAAAAGGCTTTCGACAGGGTGGAGTGGGGCTTTTTGACCACAGTCCTGTCAAATTTCGGGTTTGGTCATATTTTTAGGACATGGGTTAGTTTATTATATAAAAATCCTAGAGCGGCAGTGATGACAAATGACATGACTTCCCTGTTTTTTTTTCATCGGTAATGATGGTCACTGCTGAGGGAAATGTTGTCCGGCCTTACATGTTTGAGCTGAACTCAGACCCCGAATCGGCGACGACAGGAGACAACCAACCACCTCCTCAAACACGCATACAACAGGACGTTTCAGAATGGTAATTCATGTTTGTTTTTTTTCAACTGTATTTTCCTGCGCTCAAACCTGCTAATCTAAAGGATCAAACGCTGTGTATGGCGTTTGAGGTCATTTGTGAATTAGAATAGACTTATAGTCTAAATAAAACAATTTGCAACTGTTACTATTATTACACTTGTATACGAAACTTTGTATTATGCTTGTTATAGAGTGTGACGTCACGTGCACTACCGCCGGTGGCAATAGCCAATTTAAATGAAAAAAGTGCACAATACACAGCTTTTGAATTCATTATTGAATTTTGTGCGTAATGCGATTAAAAGTTTTAATCATTGCCCAGCACTAATATATATATATATATATATATATATATATACAGTAATTGAGGATCTTATTTGATTCAATAAAGACCTGGAACCAAAAAGAACATACATGTATATTTTAATCAGAGATTTTCCAAGATTAGAACCCTAAACTCAGGCAGACTCACCTCAATGTACAGGTAGTTGTAATCCCTCTCAGCAAGCTGGATAAACACAGCAAAGAGTGACAGAACGGGACGAGTGCTGAAGAAAGTGCACTCGGACCAAACCACAGCCACCGAAAAGAGTGACAGAACCACAGACAGTACACGGTAAAACCACTGCTTCAGCAAACACTCCCAGTACCACTCTGATGAAGAAAACAAAAGAAATAAAGGCAGGGTCAACACTGACATTTGTTTCAAATACATCATATCCACATCTATTAAGAGCACCTACCTACTGAGGGAGTATAAATGTAGCGTCTGAACCAGCCTACAGGTTCTGGAGGAGCAAAGCTGTGAACGAACTGCCGAGAGGTGCTGGTTTCGTTCTTAGCAACGTCCTCAAGATGGAAAGCCTGTTCCAGCAATATCTGCCACTGAACGCGGGTGCGATTGTGTCGCTGCACGGCGTAAATCACCTGAGAAACTTGCTGTTAGTATTATTTCAGAGCAAAATTCAGAAAACACAGAAACACTTGAGCATTACCTGCTTGTGTAGTTTGGAAAGGCTTCTTTCAGTAGGATATGTGTTTTGTTTATCATCAAAATCCTCAAAGTCATCCATGTTCCTGCCCATTTTCTCCTGATATTCAACTGGACACTAAAAACAATTAGCAGATTTCTATTAAAAAGAGTGGCATGATTACTTCAAATCACATAAATACATAAAAATGAGCCTGAAGCTTGCTATCATGTTGTCCTCTCACCTTTCGGAGAATGGTGTCCACGTTCTTCCTCAATGGATGATTATATTTGATCGATTCATTGATTTTTCTCACTTCCTATAATAAAAATACAAACATCTAAGACGCAACGTTGGCTGAACGGACTCAGATCTGACATTACCTGACAAAACCAGCTCATCTGGGCTCATATAGCGTGAACAGATGTTTGTTTACAGTATATAAACACACATGGCTTTCACCTCCATGACATCTTCTAGGTTCTCCTCTGAATCTGCCTTCTCCGTCATGAGCTTGGCCGCTTTGAAGTAAGTCTTGATGAGGAGGTGTCCCTGGCGCGAGGCCTCCCAGTACGAGCGAGGAATCTCGACCAGGCCGTAGCCCAACAGCAACACTAGAAGAAACAGACCCCAAGTGTTGGCCGCAGTGATGCCGATGGTTTGCAGCTCATACCTGATACAGAAAAGAAGAGTCAGTATGAACAGAATTTTGTGACAACAATGGAAAAATATTCTGGATTGGTTTACAGACCAGGAGAGGTGCCACTGAGGATGCACAGCCACGTAAATTAGAAGAGAGCCGAAGATGAAAAGGTATGTGCCATAATAGATTGCATTCTCAATGAGGGCCGTCTTGATCTTTCCAGTAATGGAGAATCCTCCAGAACGAGCATACGACTGCATGAATGGCAGAAGGAGCCTTGAAACATAAACACTGTTTTTAACCACTATTCTTACTGCATAGTTATTTATGCATTATTTAAACCAATGGTCCACAGTAAATTTGTGAGAGATACTGTGAAAAGTGCTATTCAAATAAATTTGAAATAAACTGAACGTGTTTCTCCTTAGGTTTACATATCTAAAATTACAAATAATATTTTGACAATATTTCAATAATTTCATTTGGCTTTAACACAATATAAATGCAATGTAAACATTTAAAACTGCCAAATTAGAAACAATTTAATTATCAAACTTATTATTATCCTCAATTTAAATAGATCTTTATAAATGACAATGAGCTTTAATATTATTATTATTATTAGAGGCCAAGCACCGAAGGTGCGTAGGCACCTATTTTATCTGTTGCCGTTCTTATTAGTGGCCAAGCACCGAAGGTGCGTAGGCACCTATTGTATCCGCTGGCATTCTTCTTCTTCTTCTTCTTCTTCCATTTCTTCTTCCGCTCGAGTCTATGGCAGCCCATAGAACCACTTGTGGGAAAGTTGTGAAATTTGGCACACTGATAGAAGACAGTCCCAACATTAACCATAGCAAGTTTGGAGTCTCTATCGCAAACTCTCTAGCGCCACCACTTGTTCAAACTTTCACTCATTTATGCTAATAACTTTTGAACCATAAGGCACAGAAGGAAAATTCTTTTTTCCTCCGATTCCTTGGCTCATGCAGAGTCGAATGGACACCAACAATGGAAAATTCAAAAATCGTAAGGATTAGTTTTTTCGCTATATTTAATCATTCGAAAAACATACTTTTTCGGACTCGTCCTATGCGGTTTGTCTGATTTTCACCAAAATTGGCTCAGATCATCTTCAGACCATGCTGGCAAAAAGTTATGGAATTCAAGTTGATTCGTCCAACCGTTCTCGAATAACACACGAATAAATTCTATGAAAAGCACGCAAAAATGGATGTGAGGCCAGTGTTTCCCCTAGGTTTACGGCTTTGGGGGGTGGGGTTCTGTTTTTTTCCATTAAAATTTTTTTGGACTCCTTTTTAATGGTTAAATTACATTTTATTAATCAAAAAACATGTCTAATTAATTAAAATCATGAAACTTAAACAATTTAACATCAATTTATCAAAAGGTTAACAAAAATTACATGTTTAGGGCCCTATTAAATTTTTTTTTTTTTCCAACCTTATGTTTTATTGTTACCAAATTCTGTGTTTTAACATGTCTATTTATTTGAAAGCATAAAAACATGTTTCATTTATTCTTACAATAGCCTAATGATTTTTTCCCCTCAGAAATTCTGTGTTGTGTATTTACATTTTTAAGGCATAAAACAGTCATTTAATTT